TGATTAATACAATTTTAAAAACTTTACAGCACAAAAACAAAAACAAATCAGGGGTATTCTTCAAGTCTTGCACGATGCACGGATTGCATGAAATGCAAAAATACAATTCCAAATTTCGATGAGTACGAGAGCACCCCATTGCAAAGTGGTAGCGTGCATGCGTAGCAAGCAGCGAAATTATGCATCAAATACAATAACAAGAGACAGCAAAAATAAAGTGAAGTGATCGAGATGAGAGGAATGATAGAGAAATGTGTAGCGTTTCCAACAACAAAACAAGTAGCACAGGGTCGCATTTATCTTGCTATGCTATTTTGCAAAATATATACATGGGTTTCGACGTTGCATATTTCGCAGCGATAGGAAATGTTGTTTCCCATGTATTTTGTTGTTGTATGTTTGCAAGTTATACAATCCATGCAATCCGTGCTACGCGCATTGGCTTCGCAAGATTTGGAAATACCCCTATCGATTTAATAGTTTTCCAAATATCTCGAGAACGGGGCGAGGAAAAAAAATTAAAAAATCACACATATACACATCATAATTCTCTATGAAATAAATATTAAAAAATTTTTTTTTTTAAATTTTCACACACAATTTTTTTATAAAAACATTAGTTGTTGAGAATATGCCATCTCAAAAAAAAATTTAAAAAAGGCATGAGTACTAGGTACTCATGAAATTTGATGTGTAAACATATGCGTACGCCAAAACATGAGAGTATTATATATATATATATAATCTCAATCAAAGCTCGTTAGCTGTCAAATTGGTTGTGATGCTAAAAAACAATTTTTAAAATTTTTAAATTCATAATGTACTCATTTTTCTCGGTGTAAAAAAAAAATCATAACTCAAATTATTATAGAGTGCACCCCAAAAGAATATAATTAAATATTGCGTCATACTCAGAGCTACCATTATGATTTTTTTTTTTGAGATGGCATATTTTCAAAAATTCATTTTTTTTACCAAAAACTTTGTATGTGAAAAATTAAAAAAAAAAATTATATTTCTTTTCATATAGAATTTTGATGTGTGCATGTATGATTTTTTTTAATTTTTTTCCTCGCCCCGTTCTCTAGATATTTGGAAAAGTGCTAAATTGATTCGTTTTTGTTTTTGTGCTGTAAAGTTTTTAAAAATGTTTTAATCAAGCTCACATTCCATATTTATTTATTGTTTATGTTTATCCATCAACCCTAACAATTTTAAACAAATCAAACACATGATATGTGAACCCCGTCCGTTTGGTATACACATATTATAAACAAGATTCATTGAATACATCAATCAGATATATCTGACTAAGCTGCTCTACGAATTGGGTGATTTCTTCAGCGAGTGGGGCAGTTACATTGACAAGGCTTTCTATCTCCGTCTCGTCCATGAAACATTATTATTACAGCACGGCCTATATTCTTTCGCTTTGGATAAACATTGTACAGCTTTTGATTTAAAGAAACTTAAAGCCCAAAAAAAAAAAAAATACCGTAATCTGCTGCCAAATATATCTTCACCTAGGTACACATATTTAAACTAGCTTCTGTTAACGTCAAAATTATTTATCAAAATTAAAAACCAAAATTCTATTATTTTCGTTAAATGAATGCCAGTTTTATGCCACCAAATTAAAGCTAATCAGTAAATGTAATCAACCAACCAGGCAACCAAACAGCCAATCAGCAAATCAACCAATCAGTTCCACAGACATATCAAATCAAGCGAAATGAAATGAACAAATCCAAAAATTTTCATAGTATGTATTATGCAAAGCATCGCTGTTTGTGATTTTATTGCTGGTTTTTGTGATGTCAGCATGCAAAATGTCTACAATTATTTTTCGGTCCGCAAATTCTCGTAGATTTTATAGCAAATTGTTGTCAATATAATTTGCCAAAACGCGCTTTTATTCCTGGCATTTCATCAGGCAGATGCGCAGACAAGCAAGCACACGATCAGAGCATTTCCAACTGTTAAATGCACCTATGTAGCTATGTGTGTATTAACAATAGGGGTATTCTCGTGAGTCTTACAAAGTCCTTGCACGGTGCACAGATTGCACGGTAAACACCGATTTTCGTGCAACGGCTTTGCAAGACTCTGTGAATACCCTCAATTTTAATTTTTCTATTAGCAAATGTATGTATGTATGTACATACAAACATATAGTACATCCATGGACGTTGAATTTGTGTAGCTGTGTAAAGCAAAGTTTATTACGCAAAGCTTATGCACAAAATTGCATAACAAGAAAAATACTCTCGCTTGATGCAGTAGGGAATGTGATAGGTGTTTTATTATTTGGCTTCTTGGCTATATGGAGATATATAGTTATGTATTAGAGGTCTGCGTATTGCTTCAAAGTATTTTCATTGTTTTTATATTTTACGCATTCATTAAGAGCAAAGGTAACGTGCGCAAATTCTTTGCCAAAATAACTCCGAAAGGTTCCGTTAAGGCGGACACCCGACAAAAAATTCGAAAAACTCCATAAGTACAGAAAAGTGAAGGTACATAACTAGTAGGAGAGCCCATCAAACTAAACCGAGTAGAGTAGGGGCCCCAGAGGCCATACATACATATATTTGGTGACGTCATGCATGGGAGAACACGAAATGGGCCTGCTGATTCGAGTATGTCAGGAGTCCCGTATTCTGATTGTTCCTCGATACAGGTAGGGATTGGGCAATACGAATAGGTAGTGCTGCAAGCCCCCCTGATAAGCCGTATCAGTTGCTGCAGCGAGATAAGCGACGCCTCGCCTGTAGGTTTCGAGTATCATCGAGGTCCTCAAAAAACCAATGCTCATATGAAAGAGCATCAAATTCTGTGTAAGAAAAACCACTGCTGCATTTTCCAAACAGTGGTGGACATGGCTGCTGCAGCGTTTGAAAGTCGCCCTCCTTGTCCAGTCATTATACAATTTTGACCTTATGCCCTCGGGGGAATTCAGTCACCGTGGAAATGGCAGCGATTGTGCATGTCCGAATTTTTTTTTTTTTTTTTTTAAAAAAAATAGTCTTCATTGAATAACTTGGCCATTTTTAATTTTTAAGAAAAATCATAAGAACAAAAGTTGTAGCAAATTCAATTTTATACAAGTTTGGTCCTCATAATTTTTCCTCTAAGATTGATAGTTTTCTAAATAAACTTGAAGCAAGCGGTAATCTCAAAACATCGCATAATATCTCGTTCAAATCTACGGCGTAAATATGTAGGGTCAGACTTGAAGAAAATCAAATTTCCTACAACTTGGGCCCCCCAATTTTTCTTGTAAGACCGATATTTTTTGATAGGGACAAGTCCTTTGCATCACCGTCACCGCCAATGTCTGCGCCAAGTTACACACAATCCGTTTGATATTGCGTCCGTAAAATCAAAAACTCGCTACTGCTTTCTGCAAAAATTGCATTCTGTTTTTGCACTTTTTCTATTCGCTTTTCTTCCATCATATTTGCGAGGTTCCAAAAATGAACAAAAAAAAAAATTATAACAATTACGAAAAGTTAACAAAAGCACGAACGTAGACGATAAAAACCACCAGGCGACCTGTTATTAATTTGTTGGTGCCTAAAATAAAAAATCACTCATTTGAAACACCAGTTTTGCAATTCGACAAAAAATACGGATTTTAGAATGACTTTATGCAGGCCTCTGATTGTACGCAATCCATTTATCGTTTCATGCAACAAGTTGTTATGAAAATATTCAATTAATCACATAAATTCGTCCGCATTAAGCTGTACAAATTTTAATATTGAGCAAATACTTACTGCGTGTCTGCCACCTAATGGCGAGGTTATCAGAAAGTATCGCAATACAATTTTGTGGCAAAAAATTTAAAAAATACACTAACACCTATTCATACAGAAGGCTTTTATGTGGATTTTAAATCATCAGCACGAGTTGTAGTGATGCCTTAAGAATAACGACAATTTTAACTNTATAGATTTGTACATACTCATATTTTATTTTCGTTGGCCACTTCAATTCCTAAAATACTTTCTTCATTTCTTCATTTTCACAGCGACCCCAAAGAGTCTGACTACATTTTGGCCTCGCGCATTTTGCAAACTTGGCTTTTTCAGTCGAATCGTTCAAACGATAATCTACGTGAACCACTCGATTTACCTTTCGAAGCGGGGCATGTTGAGATCATATTTCAACATGAAGCAACACCAAAGGATGGCGATTGGGTGGCAGTATGTGGGTAAGTAAAGAGCATTAAAGATACGAGTATTAAGAGAAGCAGTGGAATTTAATTTTCAAAAAATTTCAGTGAATAGTTTTGTAAAATAAAAAGTTCATAAATATTTAAATATGTATGTACATATATGAAGCGTTAATCTGAAAGAAATCACTCCATTTTAGAGAAAAGAAAGTGTGTAATTTTTTAAGACTATGGCAATTAATTTTTAATGATATGAATAATTTTTGAAAGCGAATCGGTTGAAAAAAGTTTGATTTATGTATCAATTCAGTTTTTAAAACGCACTTTTAAGATATGCGCGCATTTTTGGCACACCAGGCAGCTTCCCAACAAAACTTACAAAATCGATTTCTTAAATATATTTTTCCCAGAATATTTTATCTATGTCTATCAATTCTGAGGTCGGAAATCCTCGAAGTTCTTGAGTCATTTTTTTTTTATTTCAAATACAATAGCAAAAGTAAAATTTTCCAAATTCCATACATGCATCTGCAATAGAAAAAGGATGACAATATTTTCAGTAAATATATTGCGCTTGTGACAGAAATAAAGTTATCTCCCAAAGCGAAAAGTTCATAAGTTATAAATTCATTTATTCCGTTATTACCTCTCCACGCTTTATTTTACAATCTTTATAAATATTTTCCTCCATTTTTTCCCCCTTTTTTGTGTTGCATTAAGTTTTATTGAAATTTCTCTCGAATTTGCATTTACAGTCATGACTACAAGGCCTCCTTTGAGTCCACTTGGCGTTCTGATTTGTGCATGACCAAGCACCTGATGGCGAATATTACGCGCTGTATTTGTCCATTGTCTGGCACCTACGTTGTCATGCTTACGAAACGTAATAACAATGTAAGTATGTAATTGAATGCGCTATTTATTTTTGTATGTTTGTATGTACATTGATGAAAAAAGAGGTTTCCGTGCTTGAGAAATGGTAGCTTATTTTTGTAAACAAGGGAAAATAAAAGAATGTAGATTGAGTGTAACCTTTAAGATTTTTATGATAAAAATCATAATTTTATAGTTTTTTTATGATTTTTATTTTTTTCGATCATCTCTAATCGTTATTTTGTGTTTTTAATATTTTCGA